GCGAAATATCTTTTTTCCAGGCCTCTTTTTCGAACTCGTTAATAACATTTTTCCATCCTCGATAACGCGTGCGCGCGATGAACAATTGATGCGTTGATATAAAGGAATTGGAAAGTGCGAAATGCATTCTGGAATATTAGATATCAATCGACTGTTATTAATTTGTCGTATTCGCTCGTGGCGATCGGCATGATAATCTAATTGATTATCTCAATGCATGAGATAATGAGGCTGATATAGATTTCTGCATTAAATATTGTCGACATAATTTCCACTTAAAATAACGACAAACGTATTTCGCGACGATATATAGGGATTTTTTAATTTTTTTTATTTGTAGAAGATATAAATTTTATACAATAGGATTGAGAATCTGTGGAACGTGTGCATCGCATTATTAAAAACATTACGCGATAATAACGATCGTAATTCGTTTATTGCATTAGCGATGACATCATTGGTGATGAATTAATTATTATGTACATGTATTAAACGTCGCGCGTTTGTTCCCATTAAACACGAATAATTCTTTGGATTCGATTCTGCTTGTCAAATTGGAAATATTTTTTCTCGTTAATGACGTTTTTCGATCGTCGCCGGAAGGTGCGCTCGTAACGAACGATCGATGTGTAACATGCGTGCAATGAAAGAGTCGAAGGGATTGGGAAACTCGCGCTCTTGTTAGAAATACAATGTACACGTCGCTCAACGGATGAAGCTCGGACGTTACGTGTCAATCGAACGTTATTAATTTGCGGTATTCATTACCATCGTAGGTAGATGGCGATTAGTATCATTGATAATGGCATGAATTAGTCATGCCAGCGTATTATGTCGCATTAAACATTGGTTGCTCATTTCCATCGAACGTGAACGATAGCAGAATTAATAATTTAGATTGGTAATCTTCTTTGGTTTATGATGGTTTTAAATGAAATGCATTATCTAAATCTCTGTCATCTTTTTAAGTAAAAATATTTCTCTCATGACTGGAATGAAATATCTTAATTAAATATCTCAGTTTCATAGATTTCAGGAAATATACTTAAATAATTATGTTATATGTATGCTTTTTAAAAATTGATATTAAATACATAATTTTTAAAAATTTAGATTATATAAAAATGAAATTAGTATTTTTTTATTTTTTTATTTTAAAAGAAATTTTGGATTAATATATATAATACTTAAAAAATATTGGTACATTAAGGAGGTTTTTTAATTTTTAAAATAATTTAAAAGTTTTAAATAATTAATAAAATTGAAACAGTCAAACTATAATTGATTATTAAAAAATATTTTTTTTATAATTGAAATGAATATTTATATTAATTTATTGTAAATATTGAAAAAAAATTGTTTCTAGTAATAATTTAAATTTAATTTAAATGTTGGTAATTCTGATGGAAATAACGTTACCACGTTTTCACTAGTGTCATAATTTTCAAGAGATTTTTATGAATATTTCATACTTTTACATTTACACGAAAATGATACAGCGAAACTTCATTCTTTTTTATTCCAAAATGTTTTTTAAACTCTATTTTTAAATATCTATGTAACTTTTCAAAATTCTTTTGTATTTTGTTTACAATTAAATTACTTAAAGCCCTCTTTCTTAAAAGAATTTAAACTATTTAAAAAAATTATTTAAAGAAAATTATATTGTAATATGGTCAAAAAATCTGAAAAAATTTAGGAATGTCTACATATTAATTATAAATTTATTCTCAATATTGATCAAATTTTTATATTATGTATATAAAAAGACGGGAGAATATCCTTAAGTATATATTATATTTTTTTAAAGACAAAGATATTGAAAGTATCTAAATCGGATGATTTACCGCGGATGGATTGCGACGTTGACTCGGAACCTCGAACTTCGCGACGTGATCTTCAGTAGAATATATGCACGGATAATGCATTCATTGTCAGAGACGTGGAAGTGAGAGTCAAAGAAGTTCCGGAATCGCCTTCGGCTGAATAACTCAGTGTCACGCGTGACAAGCATACGCGTGTACACGATCTCTCGCATATATACGTGACACATTGTTTTCGCGGGTGCACTATTACGAAAGGGAACTTGCATGGCGCTCGTTTTCACCTCTCATCCTCCTCACCCTTCTCATCGTTCGCTCTCGCATTCACCCTTCCCAGCCTCCCAAGTTCGCAGTTCTACGAGTGGGCGTTATTGTGTTACGATGTATACCACGGGGCAGACTTCTACGGTTCTCCGTGCCACGGATTCGGGTGCAAACGTTATTATTTTTCGCAATTTGCTAAGCAGATGCCTCTCCCCATTGTGAAGCCGCCGCTGGTGCCGCTCCGTTGCCGGGAGTTTATTTTCCCGGCTCGTCTCCAACAGACGCTGACATTGTGATATTTTGCCTTCATGTAGCGGAATTTTTTTTACAAGCGAATCCCTGCAATTGTGAAATTTTTATACCCGTGTATGGACCCAGATATGCGAAAGGGGGAAAAAAGGAGATAACGAAGAATATACGCGTAGTAAAATAGAAAGTTTTGGCACGGAACATTTTGAACTTAGTGAATGATTATTTTGACAGTATCAGAAATATTTTTCATGGGAAAAATATTTTTACATTTCCTATTTAATTTTGCAATGTACAAATTAGTCATAATATATTAGGTGTTGGAATTAATTCGTAGCGTTTTACAAGTGATGGGAAGTACTTTCATTAATGTATTTTTTAATGCTCATGTGAAATAAATAACATTCTTTCATTAAAAAACGCTACGAATTAATTCCAACACCTAATACATAAATATAAATATATACATATATGTACAAATTGCTTACAAAAATAATCATTCGTATTTCATCTAATTATAAATAAATAAATTTAATTAAAGGTGATAGATTATTGCATATCTGGTATTTGTTGCTGAAAAAAGTCTGGTATCAATGGTAATCAAACCATCATGGTAATCAATAAATCGTAAACAACCAATAAATGATAGTTGCTTTTCAAAAAAAAAACAACTATGACTTTTTTTGATATCAATAAATTCATCTGATTATTCTGTGCATAACAGTATGAAGACACAAAAATGAATAATTTACGAGATATTTTATAATTTATTATAGCACATTTTAATATGAGATATAAAATATCTCGTAAGCTATTCAGTTTTTAGTAACTATATTTTAATGTTTTTACTTTTTAAGTACTCAATAATAAAACAAATCAATTCGTGTAAAGAAAACACATATTTATTTTTCAAAAATATATAATATATAATTGCATATTTAAATGTAATTGCACAAATTATATAATATTTTCGAAAAGCAAATCTTTATCCTTTTTACATCAATTGATATTGTTTTCATTATTCTGTTGCATTGAGCAATTACAATCACCCAAAAAGAAATAATTTACGAGAGATCTTTTGTAATATATTTTATATAAAAATGTGTCAATATATTTTAAAGAGGAATACAGCATAGAGAATCATGTCTCCGAGATTGCATCTAAGGAACATTTTGATCCTTTAACAATAATCTTTAATTTTAGCTAATTGTTTGTTATTAAACGCAGGAGACCCAAAACCCATAAAAAAAAGTTTTTTATCTATATATACCATCGATTTAAGACAAATTATGATTTTTGAGATAACACAAATATATTATTATATATAATAAAACAAAAAATGGAAAAACGGTATTAAAAATATAATATTATCGTTTTCTTCCGTTTTTGGACGAACGAAAACGTTGTAATAATTTTTGTCATTTTTTTACGTCCATTTGCACTCTCCCTTTTCTAATTTTTAACTGTATCGATCGTCGTAATTTTTACTTCCATTACGTCGCTCAGGAAGCTCATTTTTGCTCTTTATCTTCGTACACAGTTTCAAGTTGCTGCATCCGCGCGCACGCGAACGCGAATGGCGCGTATTCGCGTCAGAGGCTGAATATTTAAACCAACTTGCTGGCACGCATTGTTTCACCGGCGTCCTCATCTCGGTGGACTACACACGTCGGGAAATAATGATCGCACCGACCGTCTACCGTTCCTTTCTTCTCTTCTTTTGCCGGTATCGTTCTTTGCTCTTGCGACGCTAAAGCATCCACGACGGAAAACGCTGCACTACCGGCTTGAGATTTTACCGGACGCGTTCCTTTCTTCTCAGACAAGGAGGTGGTTGAACATGGAAAACGTTCGTGACTTTTCTTCGTTGTGTACCTGTATTCTACCTGCAATATAGACAAAACATTTTTTTTTAAGACTTAGAGTGAAGTTGTAGATAAATATAATCGTGTGTAGACAAATAACTAATCTCTAAGAATTGTTTTTTCTTTTTATTTATTGTTGATTTTTTATTAGTTACGTAATATTTTCAATATGAATATAAGAGTAGGAAGGAGAATTGTGTCGTCGCATATCTATATTGATTTTGTTTTTCCTTTTAAATATTTTTTGTGCGTATCATGTGATATTTCTAGGATTAATGATAACGCTACTGAATCGTATCCAGACTCGCTTGGCGCGTTAAACTAGTTTGAATAAACGAAAGGAAACAGACGCGCGCGAGGAAGAAGCAAACTGCGAAGTCGACATACCGTGAAGCAGAAGTTTTAATGTTGGTAGTTGTGCAGGCCGATAGTTTCTTTTTCGTTTTTCTTGTCAGTCCTTTCCAAACATTCGCTCTTTTCGAAGTTTATCATCATTTCTATGATCTTCGGCGCCGCTGAAGTTACGAAGAAGCGATACTTTACCGAACTCGCCGATCGCTTTCCATTTATTTCAATTTATTGATTCTTCGATAATACATTTTCCTTTTGGTAATCAAATATCTAATTATTAAGTTAAATAACAACATTATAAATATATAGCATAATTATTGTGTCGTGTAGAAAAATTATTTTTGTATAAACGTATGCAGTCTGCTTTTATATTTTCCAAAAATTTTTAAATAATGGACCCATAATAGAATTTTTTTTAACATCAAAATATTTTATGTTATTTTTATAGATATACGCTATGGAGGTGCGAACGGAAAGACCACGGACCGCCGGTCGAATAGCACCAACCGGAAGAGTAACACCGACGGTGCATCAAACCGGTGGAGGTCGAAGAAAAGCAATACCGGTTCCGCCACCGAGAGTGCCGACGCCAATGCCCATCGTAAATAATAATCAACAACGGTAAGTGCATTTTGAAATTATAATTGAACATGTTTATGCCGGAAGGAGAATAAGTTTTCCATAATTCTATTGTTGGTAATATCATATGTATGTATAATATAATATAATTAATTATTAATATCGCGATACTTATTCGTCGAAAATGAAAATATAATTTCTATCACAGAAATAAACACGATTTATCGATTACTTCATCTAGATATATTTCATACGCATTTACAAAAAAATCTTCATTTTCAACAGTGTAATATGTAACTTTGTGCACACAGTTTGTTGTGTAATTTAAATAGTGACACTAGTTTACGTTTTTAGTGAAAAAAGAAAACAACTTTTTTTAACGTATTTTGGAATGAAATATTTTCTATTATTGAAATATTTTCATCAGATTTGATTCTTGAGATATAGGAAAAAACATTTTAACAATAGAAAATTAAAAGACTCGATATTCAAATAAACTAAATTAAATTGGGTGGGCAGGTAAGAGTCTTGCACAATTATCTAGTCTCAAATATATATTAGCCAATTGCTTTTTTAGTACATTACAACAAACGTTACGATTCCGAGCCATAATCAATATGTAGTTAACGTTAAAGACTTCTTTGAGATTTTAAACTCCTAGATAATTGGAATAGCTTCATTGCCGAATATGTGTGCCATACTCTCTGGAGCACAGAATTAACAGGCATTTGTGGATTATTTTAATAATTATTAAAGTAACAATTATGTTAAAAATCAGTCATTATATAAATTAGTTCGTTGGAATACTTATGATGCTGTCGTTAGAAGGTATTCAGTCACAATGAATAAACATTTTTTCCAATATGATGAAATTTTATTGAAATTAAAAAATAAATCAAAAGTATTTGGCATTCAATTTTTTTTTGTGTAACTTTAGATTGGTTCCACGTATTAAAGTCTAGCAGTAGTTAGTATTGAAAATTACTCTTCAAATTTTCATATGCTCTTGCACACAAAATCTTATAAATTAGTGTAATTAAATAATATCGAAGAATTAATACTTCGGGATTGATCGTATTTGTCGTTCGAGTTAGTCGCGCAGAAACGTCCATAGTAATGACTCGATTCTGACTCAAGTTCGTGGAACTTCATGTAGCGAGGATATATCGGGATCGTGCTTTCCGAACTTGGACTTGGACAATCGCTATACGGTTGCCCATTCGCCCGACGACACGGCGCTCAACTTTGTCTCGCGGTTTAACGGCGACGGATTTTACAGCGAGTTTCCAGTCGCACCAAGGTGCAGTCGTGGATAGTAATGGAACGAGGGATAGGTACGGCTGATTAAACTCAGCCAGGAAGCGCAAGGTCGTCGCTGCCCACTTCGTTGATCTCCTCCGCCAATCTGCTTCTGCCAAGCGTTGGCTCGTGCAGAACTGGGGATTTGCCCGCCACCACTCGCGGATAATACCACCCCCGAGATGTTAAGCTTTCGTGGTTGGAGTATTTTTCGGGGCTGGTGTTCAAGCTTGGGATTTTCGAGAGTGGTTTATCGAAGCGCCGCAAACTGCGCGGCGTAAGAGTCGAGCCTGATAATTGAAAAGCTAAGTGGATAAAGGTGGATACACGACACAAAGGTACGATTACGCTGTACTGACATGTAACGATTTAATCTTTAGCGATTTTATTGGAGGAGGATGTCGTTCTCATATATTTTTTGAAAATCCACATGAAAAGGACGATTTTGCTGAAGTATTTAAAAATCTGATATACAGATCTGAAAAAAGTTTTTGTTTATAAAATAAATATATATAGGATGTTTAAGTTGGTTACTACAAAGTCGAAATGTTTCATACTCGAACGTCCTTAATAATTTGAATAGTCAAAATAAAATTATTTTCAGAATACGTATTATGAAATTATGAAAGGAAATCAAATTTTTGGTTGAAATTGTGCAAAGACTTTTATTTATTTTTTTTTTAAGGAAACTAAAATAATTCGGATTGGAATTTCAAATAATTCCATAATCCCCAGATCTGTATCTAGTTAAATTCTAGATCTATTTCAAATTCTAGATCTGTTATGTCTAATTAGTTATTTTAGATACTTTGGCAAAATACTATTCTATGCAGCATTAAATTTTGTTTTATTTCGTTGTATTTATTTTTATTTAATATAAAAATTTTATTATATAAATATAATGTAAAGCGAATATAAAGCGTTATGTCTTCGAGAAAGTATTTAAGTATATAGATAAACTAAATTTGTTTATCTGAAATAAGTTTCAAAATTGATTTCGTATTTTTCAGGTTGTCAAAATTGGTTTCGTATTTTTCATTCTTCCTCCTCTTTCTCTTCTTTTATAGTTTTATATTTAAGTTTGATAAAGGTCGTTCTTGAGTATGTCACTTAAGCGTACTGTCTAATTAAAGTTCTTCTCGTCTAATTAAGATGCTTTCCTTTTGTGTTGAACCTTGGAAACTAACATCTTAGATAAAAGTCGCCGATAATAAGCACCGTTAAGAAAAGGGAAGAAAAAAAAGTACACTCCCGCGTCTCGTTGTTGACGGTTGATCATCGGTATCTTGCGAGCACTTTTAACGAGTTGCAACCTGTAATTAATTACTACGCAATTACATCTTTTTCCTTGAATAAGCAGAGGAAATAATAAAGTACACAAAGACCGTAACGTGCAACAGTTTTCCTCATTTATACATAGTTGCATCAATTAAATTATACTATTTTCTCGGTAAAGAAATAGAATGAAGAATGCAGAAATTTTTATTAAAATTATTTTGTACGACATACAATGATGTTTTATTTCTTTTTTTTACGATGATTGACCTGACATTCGCGAAAATTGTTTGAGTTGCAACTCCATCAAAAGTCTAATAGAAATCTCAAAGCTCGTCGGGTTTCATATTCGTAATTACTCGGCTGGACATGGGCACGACGTGTAGTCGTTAAAGGACTTAATCTCAAGCTTACGGTCCAGAGAGAGAAGGATAGACAGAAAAAGAAAGAGAAGAAGGAAATAATAGAACGTAGAAAGGAGGAAAGGGGTAGAAGCGAGTATAGAGATTAGGGAACTGAAGATTATCTCGAAAAGTGGTTGTTGTCACTGCCAGAGTATTCATAAGTCGTCTGGTATCGTATTTCTGTGATTTTGCTGCGCAAAATTACGTTGCTGTTCTACCTGAATAAATTTACATGTTACCGGTAATCAGGTTGTAAAACAGGATCTTGTTTGTACTTTGCATGATTTCAATTTACATTACAGTATTAATGTGACAATTAATGTTATTAATGTTATACAAATTCAAGATAACACATTACATAAAATTAATTATGTAATTAATCAATGTGATATATATAAATTGTTGATAACTTTTTAATTTCTTTTAAGATGACTTTTGACAAAGACATAAATTTTATGTCGCAATCTTTTTTCGATATATAATAAAATTAATAATGATTATTTTTTTAAATAATATTATAACAACACATGTATAATATACGTACACCTTTAAATTCCTTGGAATCTTACTCTAAAGAGTAAAAATTGAGCCAATCTCGAAAAAACTAAGTTTTCAGTCTTTGATAATGAGATTTCACTCTTCAGAGTATGTGAGATTTACTCTAAAAGTTTTGTATAGGATAATATTCTGCAAGTCTATTAATTACGAGCGAGTGACTACTTGAACCGCAAAAAAATATTTGCGCCAGTGTGAGTTACCGAGGAAAATTGAATGCACAGTGGTTAAATGCTGATCATTGAAATTCTACGATTTTCTGGTTCATGGTATTTTTATGATTTCCGTGGCATCTCTTTTTCGATTTTCTTTTTCTCTCTCTCTCTCTCTCTCTCTCTCTCTCTCTCTCTCTCTCTCCGTTTCTCTTTTTCTCGACGTACGTACATTTCATTAAACACTCCTTTTTTTCCTACATTCGCGACCACCCTTCGTAAATATTCGTGCGGCGAAGGTTCTACAGCTATTCGCAATGAATCCCCCGTTTCCCGGGGGGTAGATGTAGACGCGTAGCGATGGAAATGGGTGGGGTGCGTCAGGAAGTTTGAAGTATTTTCCTCATAAAGCTTTCGAGGTATCTAAAATATTTGCGACGATGCGGATTTCGCTTCGGGATTTTAATTAATTAACGACCCGACACGCTGACTGGCCCGAACGAACCAGTTTGGTCAGACGATGTGAGGGGCGGAAGGTGATGGTAACGGGAGGTGAGTGGAGGAGGTAAAGGTTCATTAGAACCTCGCGAACCAGCTTGAAATTCTGTCGACCACAATGTAAATAACTCACTCGTGCTTTATATAAAGCAGAGAGAGGACCTTTGTGCCAAAGAGCCGCCCGTATGCGTTCATTAGGCGGTGTTTAGTTTTAGTTACATTTCGAACCATGCGCGTGAACACGTCCGCGTATTACAGTATTATACGTGTACGCGAAGAATCGTTGAAGTATCTAGCTTTCGAAGCCTCGCTGTATCCGTCGGGTTTGCCCTGAGGATAATTGCACAGAGACTGATTGGATGAAAGGAACACCTTTTATGTCGCGGTATATTAAGAACTTGTTAAATCAGGAAAGGTAGGCGAGATTGTATTACGAATGATTGTGCGATACTTTAGTTAACAATACGTGAAATAATAGAGTGATTCGCGATGCATATCTTTTCGTGGTAGACGAATGAACAAAGATGCGAAAGGTGACTAACTTGTTCTTTACGAATCATATATAGGTATATATCTTTCGCGAGTATCATAATTGCAGGAAGTCCTGGGTAAAAAATGCGAAATGCAGATTGCAATTATCGTTGCAAATCAGTCGAGCCACATGGTCGCCTTGGTAAGGAAATAATACGAAAGATAATAATTCCGATCTCTCAAAGCGATTCTCCAGAATCTGGTACATCTCCTCCTGGGAATATCGCGACTAACGAACGCGCCGGTGCCACCGCGGTGGAATATACGCCAATTAGCCCGTATTTTTCGTTCAAAGAGATCAAACCCCTTTCTGTATTAGTACAGGACC